GCTCTCTCCCTGGAGTGGCTTCCTTGGGCCCAGAAACCAGTTCTTGGTATAGAAACCTTGCCTGAGAAGGAGTATTTCCATTGTGCAGGCTCTAAAGAGTCTTCTGGGGGAGCCCAGTACTTAAGTGAACAGCAATGCACTCAAAAGAGGGCCCTGATTAAAGTATTGGAAATAGATGGATAAGGTTAGGGCTCAAAACACAGAAGGCTGAGGGCTACTCCAACAGATACTTTTGAACATATCAAAGAAACTAATTTTGCAGCATTCTGCACATAAGCCTGGCACTTTGCCTGTGTTATTTGGTCCTTGGTAAAACATGGTGAAGAGGCAGAAACAGGCTTATAGCTAAGTCACTTGCCTGAGGTCACCCAACTGGTCGTGACAGAGCCGGGCTCACCTGACTTGAGATCCATACTCTTTGTCCATCCCACCTGTGGTCCTCTAAGAAGAAACAACAGTAGAGTCTGTAATTCAGGAAAAAAAGGTGGTTCTCAGGTGAATTTTTCAGAAGGTGCATGAGGAACTGGAGCCTTGAAGGGGATGACCTTGTAACACATATTCTGTTTGATCAACTGACCAAAGTGGCAAGACTTTCCTGGCCTGTAAAAATCAAACCATCTGAGGCTGAGACCACAGGCCGCCACTTCCTGTTCTATGGCCTGGGGGCCAGTTACTTAGGCTCCTTATGCCTCAGTTTCCCTATCTAGAAAAGGAGGGCCCTTTTGTACCTCACAGGGTTATTGCAAAGAGTAATTAAATTAAATACATGTAAAGTGCTTAGAATAGTGACTGGCATATATGAACCACAGTATGTTATTAAATACAATAAATATTTTTTTACATATTTAAATTTTTTAATAAATTTACTAGCCATATATATTGCTCCTTTTAGTTTTCCACAGGAAAGTGTATCGAGAATCTTCAATAAACTTTCTAGAATTGTTTTTGTGCCTTTAAACAGTGAATGCATTAGTGGGGAAATATAACCCAATGGATGATTACATCCTCTTAGCCCCCTTCCTGCAATAATGTGCCCTCTTCTGGTTATCCCTAAGGAGTAGTGGAGAGAAGACTGCATTATATCGAGGGCAGAACAGGCCAGATGCCAAATGACCTTAGGACAACCTCCTCTAGGCAGCCTTCCTTCATCCCTGGGTCCCAGATTAGGTGCCCTTCTCTGCCTTTTCTCTACAATGGGTAACCACTACCCAAGCGTGTCCTTATCACCTCACACAATTCCCATCTTGTGCATCTCCCTGCAGGTCAACCCTGTTGAGAGTACAGCTTTATGTGAATATACTTAACACTACTGGAACTATATACTTAGAAATGTTTAAGATAATATTTTGTTATGTATGTTTTATCATGATTTAAAAAGAGAGAGAGAAGCCAGGTGCAAAAATATTGTGGACAGTTTACTGAATAATCTCAACTAGTTGGGGGATAAAACATGATTTGGGGTCCTTCAGTTGGGGCCCAACTAGTCCAGGTTGTCCATCCTTCATTTTGTAAATAGTGGGTCCCTTAGTCATTTCTTTGCCATATTTCATAGCTTTTGAGTCACCTTCAATTACTTCAGACTTAAGATTCAGTCTTTCTTCCTAAAACTTCAAATCTCATCACCCCACCTCTACAATCACCCACCCCCTCAATCGTGCAGGCTGGAGCTGCCTGTGACACTGGGTCAGACTTCTCTTCCCTTTACCCACAGCCTCCTCCCCTCTCTAGGCCTCGAGACTGTTTGGGGCCAAGAAGAGGAAGAGGTAAAGGGAAGGGGTCTCCTGACTTAAAGGGAGTGAGGTTACATGGCTCCATATGCCTCACTGATCACGGTAGTGGTCCTGGGCCTCTTCCCTGCGGTATCCCTTCCCCACCATCTCCCTCCCATCTCCTTGCCGCTCCTCAAGTCCGAGGGCCAAGCAGACAACCGTCTGGGAGCACAATGCCCAACTCCTCTTTTTGCAACTTCTGCTTTTTCTGATTCTCTTAGGTCCCCACCCACCTTCCATGGCTTCAAGGAGTAGAGGGAATGACCTCTCTCCAGAAAAACAGTCCACCCTCTGCCTTTTCAATACTCTTCTTATACCCACTGATGAGAGAGGAGGGATGAGGTAGGTAGCTTGGCTGGGTGCTTGGGGGACCAGTTTGGTCTCCCCTCTATAACCGGTAGGGAGTCTGGCTGACTTCACTTCTAGGGTCTTACTGGGGGTCTCTAAGTTGAGAGACCTTTGATCCTCACCACTAGCCCGAAGCTCAAACAACGGGTGCCAAGGGATAGATCAGATTTGCCCAAGTAGATACTAATGGTCAGGGGACAGGGAGGGGGAAGCAGAGGGCATTCGGTTGGTAAGCCAAGCAGAGGCAGACTCCATGATGAGAAGTGGAAGGACCTGTAAGTAGTACCATTCAGCTACATCAGGCATGCACGAATGGGATCACAGAAATGAGGTTGGAACATGCCCAGCCACGGCCAGGATTCTATTTCATGTCACAGTTGACTCAGTGTGCTGTGAGGGACGGAGAGAGAACCAGCCACGTGACCATTCTCAGGCCCACTGTTCGGGTGAGCCCAGGCAGCCAGAGCTCAGAGCACTGAAGTCGATCGTGCTGGCAAGGTGTTTGCAATGACTGTCAGCCTTGAGAGCAGGGCTCCTTTATGGCTTGTGGTTTCCTTTGTCGCAAGACATAAAATTATCAAAATTTCTTCTGTAGCCAATCACATTTTTCTGTGGGCTTCACACAGAAGCGCCAGCTGTTTTTCTGTGACTCAGATCACTGCACCCAGCTCACTTTTACCTGAATGACGCTGCACCAACTGCGCTGGGTATCTGCCCAGCCTGCCTGAATTCCCAGGGCTGCACAGCCTGATGTTAGTAGAGCGAGGCCTGCTCAAGGAAACGGAGTTCAGCTCTGACCACTCACTTATCCTGTGATTTTTGAACTAGTCTGGGAACCTCAAATTCACCAAAAAAAGAGGGGTGAATACTATGTGGCAACAGGATCAAATGAGGGGAGTAATGCGGGTGAGCATGCCCTGAACATGTACGATGAGGTGAACCTTGATAAGCGGAATGCAGCATTTCTCCTCTCACGACACCGTGAATGTAATGAGCACATAGGGTAGCAGACAGCATCTATGTTTCCGGCGGGGAGAGGCTGTGCATAGAGGACACAACAAATAATGCTGCCAGCTCAAAAATAAACATCAGTGTAGCAACAACACTGTTCCCAGGCTCCTGGGGTTTGGGGCGCTCCCTTTCTCTGTCCCGCCTCCCTGCTCGTTCTATTTCTATGGCACCCATCACCATGGTATCTAGGTACTCAAATAAAGACGCTGAGTTTAACACAGAGCCCCATGGGAGAGGATGCACCCCCCTTCTGGAGCACTCTCCCCGGAAGCTGCGCGTGGAGAGGTGCAACAAGGTAAACTGACTCCCTGGATGATGGCATCTTGAGATTTCATGTGGAAGCAAACACCAAATATCAGATGTCCACAGGGTGTAACAGCTTCTGAGCTGCCTAGCTATTCAGACTAATGATTCCATGTTTCTTGCCCTCAAGGACTTTACACCTCTATGGCAATAGCAGAGTCTCCAAATACACAACCAGCATTGGGACCTCAGGTTACACCAGGGCCTGTCCTTGCCCAAGGCGGATATACACACAGACGAGAGAGCTCATCTCCGGAAGAACACCAGTGAACCCAGAAGTGACCTCTGTCTCATCTCACACTGTACCCAGGGCATTTGAATATACAGATAAAAGCCATCTCTATGGAGATGCGTTAGGGGGAGGATGACTGGAAGGCCTGCAGAAGGAGCAACAGGG